GTGTTTGTCAGTTGTGTGGACCCAGTGATAGAACTTCGGGGTCTCTGCGGAAAAGGACTGGGGCAGATGCCAGGCTCTGTAGGGGACAGGGCTCCGGGGTGTGCTGGAACGGGACCGTCATGTGTTTCCTGGCAGGGAGGGCCTGCGATGGCAGAGGCTGGGCCGGCTGACGCTCACTGGAAGAACGTGGGCTTCAGTAGGAGAGTGCCAGGTCCCTGCTGCTGCTGCGGAAGCTGGGTGCCTTATTCAGGATGAGAGGAGTGGATGGAAGGACTGTCCGCGTGGGCTAGACCCCAGAGTGCTTTCCTGGGCACGGGCCACCCCGCCCGGCCCGCTAAGACCGAGAGACTGTGAGAGTGCAGCAGAACAGCCAGCTGCAGTGGCTGCTTCAGGGCCCCTCTTCCCAGGACGGAAATGGGACTTTTTCAAGAAGAGGAGACCTACGTCCTGCAGACAGGCTAGAAGAGAGGATGGCACTGTGAGGGGCAGAATAGGTGGCCATGGGTCCGAGGACTCGGGGTAGACAATCAGTCCCAGAACTCCTGCAGACACACGTGATGCCACTCATACCTCTTTTTATAATAGTTAAATTCCCACATTATAAATTCTGTTTTGATGAGAATACTAGATTTTTTAAATTGAAGTTTGAAAGGTTTCTCTATAGTCAATGTGGAATTCGAAGACGGTTGCTAATACACAAGGGATGAAAACTCATCAGCTGAACGATACATTGATTTGCAGGCTGCAGCTTGGATGCGTAGAGTAAATTAGGTTTAGTTTCCGGAGGCCTGGTGCTATAATGGAACTGTTTTAATCATATTACCATATGTAATTATTTCTAAGGTCCCCCCCTTTTTTTGCTTTTAATATTCCAAAAATTGGAATGCTTACAGTGAATGCGATAGATTTTTGTCACCGTTTAATTGGCAATGTTTACTTCTTAAAGTACATAAAACGATGATACCTTTAAAAGTCAACAGTATCTTAGGTTCCATGAAAAAAAGGCTTTAAAATGAAATTGGAAAAGTCAGAATGGAACAAAACTTAAAATTATTCCCTCTCCATAGCTAACACTAAATGCCCTAGAAAAAATTTTCAGAATTGCTTCGGAAAGTCCTAGCTGAGCATGATTGCATCTTGCAGACTTTCCTCCACCCCCCGCCCCCAGTTTTTGTTATGGGCAGATGAAGGGGGCACTCCTGCTCCTTGAAGCATGGACTTGGGCGTTTGACAAGAGTATTAGAATCTAAACAACATAAGAACCCCAACTCACTCCGTTGTCGTAATAGACCTGAACAGGCCCTGTCCCCCTCCGTGGCTGTGACCGTGGAGGGGGCGCCCGGAGGATGCGCACCGAGCTTGTGTTGCCGGAGCTCCGCTTCGGGCGCCCTGGCCTGCGGCCTCGCGGCCTCTGCGTTTTCCTTCCAAGTCGATCGTGGTCTGAAGGAACACAAACTGCTGTTTAAGTAATTCTTACTGAACCACAAGTGCTTTTCCTCAGTTTATCTGATACTTTATGCTGTTATGTATGACTGCTAATATCGGAGGACTATTTCATTTGACCCCCATTACAAAGAAGTACTGCCCTTTCCACCTCGGCCTCGCTAGGAGTCCCCGTGCGCCGCTGGGAGAGGAGCTGGCTGTTCCGTGTCTGGGCTGGCAGGCGCAGAGCCGTGGGCTGTGGTTTCGGGGAATGAGGTTGGTGTGGTCACTCAGTGGGAGATTAGACATTGAAACTGACCCACTGCACCTAGGAGGTTTGCTGTTTTAATACACAGGAAGGAGAGAGGAGAGCCAGAACTGGCCTGGAGTGGACAACTGCTAGCCAGGGAATGTTCCCTGAAGAGCTTGGATACTCAGTGTGGGCCGACTTGTGACTGCGCTCCCAGAGGCCCCGCCGAGCAGACACGCAGGCAGGGCTCCCCCCGGGTGGCTCCCAGCTCCCAGCTTTCCTAGACGACCAGCATCACTGTGCCCCTGCTGAAACCCGCACGGGGCAGGTTTCTGAAAGAGCAGGAGGCAGTCTGCTGAGGAACCGACCACCCAGCTCCCGATGGCCCACCCTCAGGAGCTCACTGCCTAGCTGGTTCTTTCTGGAGTCTACACTCATCCATTTCTCCAGAAGTACAAGAATGTGATCATTTTGAGGCAGAGTAGATGGGAAAGCTGTTTCAGAGTATTAGGGCCGCAGTTTTCCCCAAGTTACCTGGGAGTGTGAAGTTAGAAGCCAATTTTGATGGAGCTCTGTTTTTTCTGGGGCCCTGTCATAGGACAGAGGGTCATCCAGGAGAGAGAGTCCCTCTAGCCCCCATGTCCTGTGCCTGGCATGTAGAAGCCTGGAATGAGTTATGATACAGTGGAAGTCTTGACGTCTGAAAGCCCCTTTAAATCAATACACTGGGCTCAGTCCCAATGCTTATTTTACATAAATTCACAGATGAGAATGTAAAATTTTCCTTACTCTCTGACAGATCTTTAGAATTAAAAACAACAAAACCTTCCCCGTAGCTCGTGCACCGTCCCAGCATTGCTAGGTGGCTGGAGGGGCTAGCTTTCAGGAGCTCACTCGGGATTTTCTAAATTATGGTTTGCTTTTCAAAGAACAGAAGCCCTTCTTTTTATTAAAAACACAAACGTCGCCTGTGGCCTCTGCCACTTCCTGTCTCCATTCTCCCTCTCCCTCTCCTAATCTCTGCACTACAGCTGGGTGAGGGACAGGACCCAGGATTAGTTCCCAGCTGGTTTGAGTGAGCACATTCTTCAGACTAGATTTGGCACCAAGTTAGTTCTCAACCCTCTTCTTTTTTAGAAAAGCTGGACCAAAGCCACCAACTGCCACCAGCCTGTCATTGTCAGGAGCCTGTCACCCACCCTGTCCTCTTTCTTTTCTTCTGTACCAGACTGAGAAGCAGCTGACTCTCCTGGCTCCTTTACTCTCCCCTCTTCCATTTTGCAGACAGACCTTAGAATGCTTGTGGCCCTGAGGTTTTCTGACTCGGAAGAGATCTGTGACAATGGAGGTCATTAGAGTAAATAGTAAATACCCAGACGGGGACTTATTACAGAGCTCTCCAGTCTGCCCACCTAACCCCAGTACAGTACGGGGTTCTTCCAAAAGATGGTCACCTGCTTATGGTGGTGACATCCTGAAAATGCTCTTCGGTGCATCACTGAGCAGGTGAAAGGGCTGGTCCAGACCCTTGTCTGCCATCTCTCTTACTCCAAGGGAGGGCATTCTCCATAGTCAGGAAATTCTGATTCTGTTCCCGCACCCCCCCCTTCTAGTCACCCATCCTATTTCTCCCTGCGGATGACCTTCATCATACAGTTGCTCAGTGGGAATAGCGGTGACATCAAAAGGAGGAGGTAGAACTGAGCGAACCATTCCTTCCTAACCACTCCTTTGTTAGAGTGTCCTCCGTCGCGTAGACTTGGTGTCAGCGCGTCGTCCCGAAGGGGGCTCAGAAGTAGCATGCACACTTCAGCCAAGGTTGCTTTTCTCTGTCTAGGACCAGGGACGTTCCTTATCCTTTGCTAACTCCTTGTGGTACCTCAGTGGGGTCTGTCCTTTTGCAAGGCCTTTTTAAAACGATGCTCACCCCCATTCAATTCTCTTTGTGTTAAGCCTCAGCGCCTTAGAAATTACTGATGTGTTCAGTATCCATTGATAAATGAGCTCTGTGGTCATGCATGTCAGTTACAGAAACACCAGTGGGCTTTTGAGATAACATCGGCTTCTTCCTAGGCAGAGCCCGCCCACCCAGCTCATTCCCCGCCCGCCCGTGTGCTTGTCTGCACTCACACTCTGTGTGGTGAGGCTGTTCGTCACGGTCAGCCCGCCACCAGCACTGGCAGCCCCGTCGGCAGGTAGCAGGAGGAAGCTGCTGGTGGCGGGGCGAGCATATTCTTTCATCTGGACCCATCGCCCTCTGCCCCCTCAGTTACAGTCATTTTAAGATAGGCCTGGGAAAGACAATGTTTCTAGAATGTTCCATTAAAATTAAAGGGAAATAATGACTTCGAAATCAGGTTAATGTTCCAGAATTTCAGACATTTAAGTCTTAAGCACCGGGCCACAGCAGTGGGTAAGGTGAGGTAAACTTTTAAGCCCCTTCCGGCCCTTAGATTTCGGGATTCAAATGGTGGTGTGAGCTGCTGAGGTGTCAGATTTGGGTGGGAATAGGGATGGGTGCCAGTGGGTGGCAGCACAGTGCATCCAGCAGAAGCAGATTGCAGTGCACGGCTCTGTCTCTCACACTCTTCTCTTTCAAGAACCAGAGCTACGTTTCTAAAGCGGAGGGTACCCAGATCTCAGAAGTTTTGAGCCTTGCGAGGGTTATTTGGTTGGCAGGTTGGTTGATTTTTTAAAAAAAACAATACATAATACAACCATATGGTTCAATTTCATTTAAAAAGTGTGTGTAAGAAAGAGAGGGGTTTCCCTCCTTCTTTGACTGCCCAGTTTGCGCTGTGTCCCTTCCCCCGCCCCCTGGTAACGACTTCTGTGGGTGTCTTGTGATGAGCCTTACAGAGTTGCTTTATGTATATACAAGTGAACATGAACTATGACCTTAGCTCCCCCACCCCCACTTACACAAAAGGTAGCATACTGTGTGCACACACCTTTATGCACCCTCACTTACCCATTTCTCCTGGAGATCTTTCCGTATTAGTAGGGAGCTTCCTTGTGTTTTTAAGCCACACAGTGTCCCACTGTATGACTGTGCCATTATGTTAATATTTAACTAGTCCCCTGTTCATGTGCATTTGGGTGGTTTCAATCTTTTGCTATTGCAAACAGTTGAGTCGAAGTGTTTGGAGGGATTTGGGAGGCTGGCTGCTGTGTTGGCATCAGATTAGTAAGGAAGGATGGTCCTGGGCTGTGTCATGGTCACGGTCACGAGGGCCCCAGAGCTGTGAGTTCAGGTCTCCCCTGTGTGTGTGTTGCCTATAGATGATCTGTGTATTGAATGCTCTATTTTCTCCATTTTTTCTTTCAGGGACAATTCAAGTTTTCGAAATACAAAAATCACATTGTGAAAGTACACAAGCTGGCAATAATCCCTTTCTGTGTGTGTGTTTGTCCGAAACGGAGGGGAGGTCTCCAGCTGGTCCTTCCGTCTGCTCACTGAAGTGACGTCCCTTTTGCACTCATTCCTGGAGGACGGATCCTGCTAGACAACCTCCAGCATCGCTGACTTTATAAAGCGGAAAAATGGCAAACGTGACTTTGTAATAGACACTCTTTTTTTCAAGGGGTTTCTGTGGGGGGAGTCTAGCCTTTCGTTTTGCTGTGTGCTGTCCAGATGCCTCTCGGGCCTTCTGTCGTGCTCCTCCCTGCTGTCCGAAGGGTGTCGTGACCACGTGTACAAGCCGGAGCTGTCAGCTGAGACGTATCAGTGTTATGAATGTCTGTGCATCCAGGAAACACTTTTTGTTGGAGGTCCCGGGATAGCTGTAAATGCTCTCTTCTAGCTTTGCCATTAAATTATTGGGACATTTTTGTTTATTTTGCTCCCCTCTTCCCCCCAGCCCACCACCTTCTGAAAATGTGTACTGATTTTGTGTGGTCTCCTGCCTTATGCCCTCCAGTCTTCCCTCGTGTGGGACTCTTCTTAGGCACTGCTGCACTTAAACTTGTAATCCAGAGCGCTCAGAGGCACGCCTCTGCTAACTGCACCGGAGCAGACCAGTGTGCTAGGAGCAGGCTTACGGCAGAGGTCCCAGGGCAGATCTGCAGCTGAGGGCAGCGTCTGAAACCATTCCCCAGATGAGCAGGGCCTCCCTGTCCAGCCTGCTTCGGTGGGTTCGTGCATGCCCCTCTCTGAGGAAGGGAAGCAAAAGCTGGTCACTGACAGGTATTGACAGGTAAATTCTGTGATCCCAAAACTGGGACATCCGAAGAAAAGGTGACCGAGGTGGGTGGCTTTCTTTGCCTGTCTGCAGTGGATGGAGACCTGCTTGCAGTCCTCGTCACCTGGTATGTGTGTTAGGCTACTGCCGGCTTATAAATGAGCAGGCGCGCCTCAGAGAAGTGGGTGATCCGACCGGACTGCCATCGAAGGTCGAAGAGCACCTAGGATGGGAGTAAGTACTGAGTGCAGTCCTACGGCAACCTCCAAGGAGCACTGTCTCACTAGGCTCTTGTGAGCAGAGAACGAAGTACCTTAAATTAAGGTCTCCTAAAACCTATCCTTGCAGGCCAGGGGCCTTCGCCACCCGGCCTTAGAGAAGTCATATGAGTAACGGGCATTTCCTTGTATTTATATTACTCTCCGACTTTCCATCTCCTGAACGCCCTCTAATTGCCGCGGTCTTGGGTGCTTTTTCCTAAAAGAACAGAGGAGTACAGGGGCCAGATGGGGTGACTCCATGATAGGTGAAGTTAAGCTCCAGGAACATGACTCAGATTCCAGGGATATGAAGAAGATGCCAGTGCCTGGACGGTTGTGAAGGGCTCAGGCAAACAGCGTAGGAGCCACACTGGCGGCAACGGGAGCAGAGGCTGCCTCCCGAGGTGTGTGCAGACCCGGGCGGGCTTCGCTTCGGCCTAAACTCAGATTTGCCATGGAAATTCCAAAGAGAGCAGACATTAGATTTGCCCTCCTTTGGGCCTCTACCCGACTCGCGTGTGTGCGCATTGTGTCCACGAGTGAGACTTTGTCACCCCAGGGCTTCAGTGTATTGTCTGTATTCATGCTGTTGCTTTTTGGGGGCCTCATTTGTTCATTTTTGACTCTTGTGTTTTCCAGAGCGGCTCATGTCTCCCCTTTCTCTTTGTCATTGCAGTATTTGAAAGTTGTTTTTTTTTCTCACCAAAAACGGGCTGCCCCTGTGCTGGGTGAAACCAGAGGTATCTGGTGGGCAGCATCTTCCCTCAGAGCTCCGGTCACTCCTGACGGCTGAGTGGGAGCTGGGAGTCTGTTTCTCCAGCCGCCCGTCCTCCAGCCTGGCTTCAGAGGCCTCGCCCCGACCCCGCAGGCCTGTGCTATGCCGACGTGTGACACCTGTGGCATCGCCTGCTCTAGAGACACGGGAGAAGGTGCACCCAACCAACGTGGACGTTGCTGCTGGAAGATGGGGCGTCTTTCCATGTGCACGGGCGGGCTGTCTTCCCGTGACCCCTCTGTTGAGCTTTCCATTCAAAGCTGGCCCCACTCCTCCAGGGCGCTCCTCATTCTGCCCTTCGACCCCTGTGTGTGTTTCCTTGTGGCTGGCAGTGGCGGTGATTTCCCACCGAGAAACCTGCGGCCCACGATGCTCTGAGATGAGCTCCATGTGTCCGCCAGCGGAGGAACAGGCCCCGGCAGGAGGGCCTCCTTGCACTTTCTGAGCAGTTGCCCACTGCAGTAATAAACGGAAGTATCCGCAAGATCCAGGTGTGGCCTCTTCAATGCGGGGGCACGGGGGCACTGCCCTTCGGGGCCGGCTCTTCTTTAAGTGCATTCCAGAACAGTGTGCGGATGGTCCAGAGATGCCAGTATCGTGGACATAACTATTATAAAAGTATTCTCCAACTGCTGAAACTCAGTTTACGTTTTTAATAGCCAATGTAGTTGTTAATTTTAATTCTTCTCAACTAGGGGAAAGGAATATTGGAGTGGAAGGATATTCAAAGAATTAGATTTTGAAGTAAGAAATCACTCCAGGCCTAGGCTTGGAATGTTGATTCAGATTCAGTAGCTTAGCCCAATGGTGGACACATGGGGCGCACTGATGCCCGGGGCACCTGGGGCGCACTGATGTCCCAGGACCCGTGGGGAGCACTGATGCCCGGGGCACGTGGGGCGCACTGATGTCCCAGGACCCGTGGGGAGCACTGATGCCCGGGACACCTGGGGCGCACTGATGTCCCAGGACCCGTGGGGAGCACTGATGCCCGGGGCACGTGGGGAGCACTGATGCCCGGGGCACGTGGGGAGCACTGATGTCCCAGGACCCGTGGGGAGCACTGATGCCCGGGGCACGTGGGGAGCACTGATGCCCGGGGCACGTGGGGCGCACTGATGTCCCAGGACCCGTGGGGAGCACTGATGCCCGGGGCACGTGGGGAGCACTGATGCCCGGGACACCTGGGGCGCACTGATGGCCAGTACCCATGGGAAGGAAACACCAGGAAAAAAAGAAACTTGCAGAACCTCAGTTATGTGTCTGAAGGATCTAAAACAATAGTCTTTTGTTGTTGTTAATCCTCACCCGAGGATATTTTTCCATTGATTTTTACAGAGTGGAAGGGAGGGAGGGAGGGGGAGAGGGAGAGCAGGAGAAACGTCCATGTGCGAGAGACACATTGATTGTTTCCTCCTGCACGCACCCTGGCTGGGGCCGAGAATCAAACCTGCAACCCAGGTACGTGCCCTTGCCCAGGAATCATGGGCAGGAACCCATGACCTTTTGGTCCTCAGGCCAACGCTCTAACCATTGAGCAACACTAACCAGGGCACAATAATCTTGAGGCTCTGTTTCAGTAGATAGAAATATCTCTGTGTGTATCAGTCATGGTCCAAATAGGAGACAGAAACCTTGCAAGTTATTTTTATAGTACAGTAGGATTGTAGACTCAGTAAGAAAAAGGGCAAAAAGAAAACACTAAAATATCAAGGAGGCAGCAACTCCAGGAGGAGCTGCCTCTGAGGTTGGATGCTGCCCACCTGGTGCTGGTATCTGAGTGGATGAAGCTGGTGCTGAGCTTGGACATGCCGCGGGGTTCGGCAGGAGCGCGGCCCCTTTCTCCCTCCAGTGCGAGGCTTCCCTAAGGGCACCCCACTGGAGAAATCCCAGGTATGCCAGCTGGCAAAGCAGGATGTTTGCCCCGGTCTATGCCCAGGAAAGGCTGAGAGGAAAGAGCTTAGTGATTGGTACATTTCTCCCCTTAGCCCCCCCCCCCCCCCGCATCTGTGCACACCCTCTACACATATTTAAAGTAATAGTACCACTTCCGCTCTGATGGCGGGTAGGTGAACGCGGTCTCCGTCCTCCCACAACCACATCAAAGTGACAACTAAACTACAGAAAACCATCATTCAAAACCGCCTGAAATCAAGCTGAATGAAGTCCTACGACTACAGAATTAAAGCAGCAGCCACACGAGACTGGTAGGAGGGCGGAGGGGACGGGCTGGTCCCACACCCATGTGTGGCGGATAAAAATCAGGAGGACACCTCGGCTGGGAAGGTCCTCTCTGAGGACTGAGGGGTCCCCATCCCATACCAGGTGCCCCGCTCAGGGGTCCAGTGCCAGGAAGAGAATCCCCATCACTTCTGGCTGGAAAAACCAGTGGGAACTGAGGCTCAGGGAGGCCGAGGCGGCTGGAGCCCCAGGCAGCTCCTTAAAGGGCCCGCGCACGGACTTATCGGACTCTCTCCCTCTAAGCTTGGAGGGGAGGCAGCTCGAGGGGCACCAGAGACATACAGGGAAGAACTGAGCTGTTTGGCACTGGAGCGAGGGCTGGAGAGGGGGCTTCCTCCGGGACAAACGTGCTGTCAGAGGCCTTTGTTCCTTTGGTGAGCCCTTCCCTGGGGCAGCAGACAGCCGCCATATCTGGGACTCCAGCAACCTGGCTCACACTGGTAGCCCCGCCCTGGTGACTCCCTGAGGCCCCGCCCCACCCAACTTTCAGGCCCACCCAAGCTGTGCCAGTTGCTTAACCATAGGATTGGCCTGTCTTGGATCCTGCTTCAGGTTTTCCTAAATTCTTTCAAACAAGCAGCATCTGGTCTCAGATAGCACCATACCTCTCGTTAAGTAATACACAGAAACAAACACAGGGAGGCAGCCAAAATGAGGAGACAAAGAAACAGGTCCCAAATAAAAGAACAGAACAAAACCCCAGGAAAAGAACTAAGCGAAATGGAGATAAGCAACCTAACAGATACTGAGTTCAAAATACTGCTTATAAGGATGCTCAATGAACTTAGTGAGAACCTCAGTGAACTTAGTGAGGGCCTCAAGAGCATAAAAAAGGACCAGTCAGAAATGAAGGAGGCACTAACTAAAATAAGGAATAATTTACACAGATTCAATAGTAGAGAAAGTAAAACCAAGAAGCAAACCATCAATTTGGAATATAAGGAAGCAAAAAACACCCAGTCAGAACAGCAAAAAGAGAAAAGAATCCAAAAAAATGAGGATAGTGTAAGGAGCCTCTGGGACAACTTCAAGCGTGCCAACATTTGCATCTTGGAGGTGCCAGAAGGAGAAGAGAGAGAACAAGAAATCGAAAACCTATTTGAAACAATAATGGCAGAAAATTTCCCTAACTAGGTGAAGGAAACAGACATACAAGTTCAGGAAGCACAGAGAGTCCCAAACAAGATGAACCCCAAGAGGCCCACACCAAGACACATCATCATCAAAATGCAAAAGGTTCAAGACAAAGAGAGAATCTTAAAAGCAGCAAGAGTAAGGCAGCTAGTTACCTACAATGGAGTTCCCATAAGGCTGTCAGCTGATTTCTCAAAACAAACTTTGCAGGCCAGAAGGGAGTGGCAAGAAATATTCAGAGTGATGAAAAGCAAGAACCTACAACCAAGGATACTCTATCCTGCAAAGGTGTCATTTAGAATCAATGGCCATATACAGAGTTTCCTGACAAGGAAAAGCTAAAGGAATTCATCACCACCAAACTATTATTATATGAAATGTTGAAGGGTCTTCTTGAAGAAAAAGCTAAAAAATATAAACAAACAAAATGGCAATGAATACATAGCTATCAACAATTGAATCTACAAACAAAATAAACAAGCAGAACAGAAACATTCTCATAGATATAGGGAACATTTTGTTGGTTGCCAGATGGGAGAGAGGTTGGGGGAATGGGTGAAAAAGGTGAAGGGATTAAGAAGTACAAATTGGTTGCTAGACTAACAAACCTCAGAGGGAAGGGGGGTAGGGGATGGGAAGAAATAAACCAAAGAACTTATATCATATATGTATAACCAATGGACACAGACAACAGTGTGGGGAAAGACGGGGGGGTGGGGAGGGAGTGGGGAGGAGGCGGTCAATGGGGGAAAAATGAGGAAATCTGTAATACATTCAACAATAAAGATATATATATATTTTTAATCCTCACCTGAGGACATTTTTCCATTTTTTGTTCAGATAGAGTGGGAGGGAGGGAGAGAGAGAGAGAAACATTGATGTGAAAGGGACACATGGAGTGGCTGCCAACTGCACGACCAACCAGGACTGGGGACAAACTGCAACCGAGGTACGTACCCTTAGCGGGAACCGAACCCGGGTCTCTCTGGACCGCAGGCCGATGCGCTAACCGCTGAGCCAAACTGGCCAGGGCAATTTTTAAAAAATTAAAAAAAAATAAAACGAAAACTTAAATAAATAAATACAGTAATAGTAATGCCCGGTCGGTGTGGCGCAGTGGTTGAGCGTCGACCCATGCACTAAGAGGTCATGGATTCGATTCCCGGTCAAGGCACATGCCCAGGTTGTGGGCCCGATCCCCAGTGGGGGGGCCTGCAGGAGGCAGCCAGTTGATGTTTCTATCTCTATCTCCTCCCTTCTTCTCTCTCTAAAATCAATAAAGAAAAAATGTAAAGTAACAGTACCACAAAAGCAACTCTGTTTCTGCCCAAGATAGAATTAATTGCAGTGTGTCCCCTCCCCAAACAGGAAGTGCAGAGCTCAACAGTGTGGACCTCTGGCCTATGGATTCTTCTAATTCAGTCACAGTCTCATCTGAACAGAATATAGAACAACAGAATGATACCTGAAGACCAAAGGGTACATTAACTTCCAACAAAACTTGCATGAAGTAGTGAGGAAAGATGAGTTTGTGTGTAGCCACTCCAGGAGGAGCTGCCCTGCGTGTCAAGGCAGGGTGTGCGGAGTCTAGCTCATGAGGCTGGAGCTGGCCTTTAATCATGTCAGTGTCCACTTCCCGGTGTGTTTCCTGTGCCCCTCCCGGGTCTCAGCTGGTCAGGATTCTTCATTCGCCGTGGTGGATCCACACCTTTATTCAGAGGGTCTGAACTGTGCGGCCTTTATTCATTAGCATTTTCCATTCATTTTTCTGTTTCTAGAGCACTGGTTCTCAGCCTTCCTAATGCCGTGACCCTTTAACACAGGTCCTCGTGTTGTACATGGGCGCATCTGCACGTGGGCGGACCGCCTGCAGACGGATAGAGGAGCCGTGTCTCGGTTCCTAACACCATGGGAAATATGTGTTTTCCGATGGTCTTAGGTGACCCCTGGGAAAGGGTTGTTCGACCCCCAAAGGGGTCACAACTCCCAGGTTGAGAACCACTGTTCTAGGGGCTCCTGGAGGTCTGTCACCGGGCCAGCCCGGCCCTGCCGAGCACGGGGCTCCTGGCCGAGCACGGGGCTCCTGGGGG